CAAAAGAGTCAGAAGGAGATGGGAGGATGGAAGCCCAGGGCAGAGAGATTGCAAGATGCTATGCTCTGGCTTTGAAGATTGGGGGTAGGGGGAGGGAAGTGGGGTCAAAAGTCAAGGAATGCAGGCAGCTTCCAGAAGACGGAAAAGGCAAGCAATCAGATTCTCCTCTAGAGTCTCCAGAAGGAAGGCGGCCTGGCTGACATCTTGATTTTTATCCCAGTGAGACCCATTTCATGGGCTTCTGACCTCTAGAACTGTAAGACAATCAATTTGTGTTGTTTTGTATATATATACCACATCTTCTTGTGTGTATACACACACACACACACACACACACTGGAATACTACGCAGCCACAAAAGGAATGAAATCTTGCTGTTTGCAACGACATGGATGGAACTGGAGGGTGTTATGCTGAGCGAAGTAAGTCAATCAGAAAGACATGTATCCTGGGCGCCTGGGTGGCTCAGTCGGTTAAGCGACTGCCTTTGGCTCGGGTCGTGATCCTGGAGTCCCTGGATCGAGTCCCGCATCGGGCTCCCTGCTCAGCGGGGAGTCTGCTTCTCCCTCTGACCCTCCCCCCTCTCATGTGCTCTCTCTCTCTCTCATTCTGTCTCAAATAAATGAATAAAATCTTTAAAAAAAAAAAAAAAAGACATGTATCCTATGATCTCACTAATATGAGGAATTCTTAATCTCAGGAAACAAACCGAGGGTTGCTAGAGTGGGGGAGGTGGGAGGGATGGGGTGGCTGGGTGATAGACATTGGGGAGGGTATGTGCTATGGTGAGCGCTGTGAACTGTAAGTGTAAGACTGCTTGAATCACAGACCTGTACCTCTGAAACAAATAATACGTTATATGTTAAAAAAAAAAAAAAAGAAGAAGATAGCAGGAGAGGAAGAATGACGGGGGGTGGAATCGGAGGGGAAGACGAACCATGAGAGACTATGGACTCTGAGAAACAAACTGAGGGTTCTAGAGGGGAGGGGGTGGGGGAATGGGTTAGCCTGGTGATGGGTATTAAAGAGGGCACGTTCTGCATGGAGCACTGGGTGTTATACGCAAACAATGAGTCATGGAACACTACATCAAAAACTAATGATGTATGGTGATTAACATAATAATAAAATAAAATTTAAAAATTTGTGTTGTTTTAAGACGACCCTGTTTGTGGTCATTTGTTACAGCAGCAACAATAGGAAACGAATACAAGGTGTTCCTAAGAGAGAAGCTGTCAGTGGGGAAACTGGACTGTAATCCCCAAAGGCATGCGTCATGGAGGGGGATCGAGGTTAGGAGAAGAGAGACATCTGGAGCCAGCAGGACAGCTGTGTCCATGCAATGAGACTCTCCCCCAGAACCCCTTCCGTCTTTAAAAAAGTTACTTAGCTCCTAAGATACTGCATGTTTGGCTTTGGATCCAACCCAACAGTGACGAGGTTCAGTTTCCTATCTGGGTTTGATGTGCTGTAAAACAGAGGTGTCGTGAATAAACCCCGAGTGCAGAGACAGAGAAACAAGCATCCTATGTACAGGAATACTACGATAAATATTCAGTATATTCACAAACTCAACTGAAACAGAAAATAAATAGCTACAAAGAATAAAATCCTATGAAGGAATATCACACGGCACACGTAAGGGCTCCGTGTGAGAAATGTTTACGCTATTAAGTCAACGTGCCCCATCATTTCAACATCCCATGCATATACAATAAACAGTAACCACACCACTGAGGCGAGGGAACATTGGGTAATCCAATACAACTGCTGACACTCTTCCAATAACTGTTTACTCTTCCCCGCAGTTTAGCTGCAGTGCACCCTCCACTTTGCTATGGCTTTTTCATGCCTCACTCGGATTTGAGTTCATCCTTGCTGTCACCTGGGAAACACAATGTAGCTCCTGCTATCTCTCTCCCTCTGCCTGGACCCATGGGTGACGCCAGTGTGGAAACCCTTTTTGGATGTAATTCCTGGAGCAAGGGAGGCTCTTCTGGGAATGCGCCTGTCAGGCTGCCAGGTCAGTACCGAAACCTGCTGAGTGGAAGTGGGACTCTGATAATTTTCCACTGATTCTTTTCCTATCCTTTTACTTCTGACTACTGAATAATGCTCCCAAGAAAAATTACCCAGATCTTAGAAACAGACCAAAGGGACTAGGAGGTCCCTTCCATGTGGGCTGGGGTCGTCTAGCGGGCCCACATCCCCCAGGGATGATCTGATTTTCTAGAGGCAGGTATCTTTGTCTGACTTCCTATTTACTATTGTTTAAGCTGTTTTACAATCCCACCTGGGTGCGAGGGGAGAGGTTAACTTGTAGAAAACTCAACCCAATGCAAATGGTTTCTGTCTGAGAATAATGCCAACAGCTCCCATCCAGTGGCAATGCAAAATCTTAGCAAAGACAGCTCCCAAAGTTAGGTTTACGGCCTTGTAGGACGTTAAGTGGCTTGGATTCTATTAGCAGATTCATTTCAGTGTTCCTCTGACTCTATCAGTCTCCATTCCTTGAAATCTCGATTTGAACTAGTCTTAACATACGACTGGTTTCCTAACTAATTAATGAGTTGGATAAAATCTCTGATGCATGTTCATTTTGTATTTGGGTGGGAACCAGGTTTGTAACTTTTGTAAACTATGCTTTAACAATGCAAAAAGATATGCTGTGGGCAGGAACTCTGGACAGGTATTCTCGTCTCTCACCATTCCTCACCTGAGGGGGCTCTGGGCCCAGGAACAGCTATGCTGTTTTAAGAAATTAAACTGACCCAGGACAGTATGATCCAGTTCCACAAAATTCTCAATCAATTCATCCCAAATGCTAATGGGGACTCAAGTCTTCAACTCAACAACAACGTATTTTAAATAATCAACCTTTTAATATTCTTAATTTAAAGACGGGAACAGGGGTAAGGGTTGTTTACTTTGGACAGTGGTTCTCAAAGTGTGACCTCTGGGGGTCCCTGAGGCCTTTTCAAGGGGTCTGCAGGTCAAAACTCTTCATTATAATAATAAGACGCTGTTTGCTTTTTTCCCTGTGTTCACATCTGCACTGAGGGTGGGGAAGTGATGGTGAGTGAGACCGTCAGCCCTCAGCATGAAGCAAGGCAGCGGCAACGAACTCTACGAGGGGTCACTGGATTCTTTACCACTGTGCACTCCCGGGAGAAAGGGGGGAAAAAAAGTCAGCTTCACTGATAATGTGCTTGACGAGGCAGTAAAATGGATTTGTGTTCTTAAATCTTAACACTTGAGCATACATCCTCGTCATATTTTCTGTGAAGAAATGGGACGTAGGCCTAAGTGGTGCCACACAGCGGAGTTGGGACAGTTGTTTCGAGAAAAAGCACAAACGCGACTGTTCGAGTGGTGAGCAGGATTAGCCAGTTTTTTTTTTCATGTAACTATGTTTTTATGCGAAAGAATGACTGATGATAAACTATGGTGATTGAGACTCAGGAACCTGGCAAACATGCTCGCAAAAATAAACAAAGTGAGCCCACTGCTCCGAGGAAAACAACTGATGGTTTCTGTTGCCAATGATAAAATTTGAACTTCGAAGTGAAGAAAAAAAAAAATCAGAATTTTAGAAAACTTGCATCCGCCCACCATGAACTTCACAGCTTCCCACCACTTAAAAACTCTTCCGATGGTGTTCTGAGACGAAATATGGCAACATTTGGAAGATCTGCATAACTCACTAGACCAGATTTTCCAAGTGACCGATGCATGATGTTACAAGATGATGCACGGGGCGGGGCGGGGCGGGGGGTGGAATCCATTCAAAGTGCAAGACAAACCAATGCATTTTAATGTAGCGGAGTATAAAAGTTAATTGATGTTTCAGATTTAACACTGCAACTAACTCTGAAGAAACCACCACTTACTGAGTTTTGGTGTAGTATCAAAAAAGAACATTCATGAATAATCTGAATGGTTATCAAAATATGCCCCCACTTTGAGCAGCTTCTGTCCATTAGTTCTTCTGGTGTTTACCATTGTAACTTTAGTAAAATTACACTTCGATTTTGGCATATTACCTTTAGCCAGTTTTACTGACCCTCTGCCATGAAATATGAGATAGCATGATCATACAGCCTTCCTTCCACCCTCTTCTAGTTTTTGGGGTCTTTGTTACCTTGAGCTGCAATAGCTACCTTTCTAACTATTAAAACAAAACAGATGTACACCTCTAGTTCTTCATCTCTGCCTCCTTGTTATGAAAAATAAAGGGATCAACTCACACTTGCTTCTACTTTTCTTTCCCAATTTCACCTCCTGACTTAGGTCAGCCATACGATTTTTATTTTGTCAAGGTTTATGACATTTTGGTTTTATTCTGAAATTCAAATCGAGCCTTCTGCATCTGTCTCCATACTGATTATAATTTTCTTCTAAAGATTTTATTTATTTGAGAGAGAGAGAGAACGAACAAGGGGCGGGGAGGGGTAAAGGGAGAAGCAAACTTCCCACTGAGCAGAGAGCCCAATGCAGGGCTCGATCCCAGGACCCTGAGATCATGACCTGAGCTGAAGGCAGACACTTAACCGACTGAGCCACCCAGGCGCCCCTATAAGAGCTGTTCTTTAAATAGCACCTTGAATCTTCCCCACGCCATGCAAGGGAGATGCTACACCCATATAGCAGGTGAGAAACCACAATTCCTCGAGTTAAGCTACCCAGGCTGAGAGAGGTAGCTGAGCTGGGATTAGAGAAACTTCCTCTCTTCCTATGCTCCCTCCTTGATGTCATGATGGGCACCAGACACTTTGTGGTGGAATTCAAGGCTGACAGAAGCCCCAGGCCTGTCCTGGAGGCACCAAACTCAGCCAGGCAGTAGATACTTTCTGGGTCTGCCATGAATGAATTCATGAACTTGAGGTAGGGTTCATTTCCAGTGCTTCTGTGTATGGTTCATAGCTTAGTTAACCATGATGTGCTCTAATAAGACTGAGAAGATTTACAAAAACTGTACAGTGCAGCTCACTTTAACTTACCTCCTTTTGATAGGCAAGCCCAGCTTCATAGAGCTTAATAAAGAGGTACTGAGTCCATTTGTAATAATCTGGTAAACATGTAGTTATTTCCTGCCAAAGAAGGGGAAAAAAATTACTCATGGGCCACTGTAAACATTCCCCCTCTCCCCACCACCAACGTATGCACTGGCCTTGCGATTCAATTTTAAAAAGCAATCACACCACAAAAATATTTACCAACCTACATATATCTTCTGCCAATTCGTAAAGTGAGGGAAGAAGCAATTCATTCTGGGAAGAAAGCTATTACTGAAATGCCACCCCTACCTTTCCCAGGGTCAGTTTAATGAAAAGAAACTCAATGTCTTCTGCACACCTCTCCCCTGGGCCATGCAAGTAACAGGTGAATGACACTGCATGAAATTGGGCATTACCATTTTTGTCAGCGTGTATTTTGGGGATCGTGACGCTAATTCACGAACGTAGTTCAATTTGAAAGCAATCACAAATTCAAGAGGAATATCTGCCTACTTCAGTAGTATGCTCATTTGAAAACAAATTTGTGTTTCTCCATATAACTGGGCCCTGTAAGCTCTTTTAGACTTATTTATATTCCATTTACTCCATTAGGTGAATCAGGCTATTGCCTGGTTAGGAAGACCCATTAAAATCATTATTAAAAATTAAACTTAGTGAGAAATCACCTGGCTTGTACTTCCAAGCCTAAATCTAAGGTTCTGAAAGTTTGTTTTCTGTCCTGAAAACACACTTACTGTAGAATCTTTAAAAAGAAGTTACTGATTAACCAATCTCCAAGCTGACAAAGTCAAGTAAGCATAAAACCTCTACACTGTCACACTATTTCTTTTCGAGCAGTCCTTAACTTCAAAAAACAGCTAACACAGAAATGAACATAGGGCAGGAATCATTCTAAATGGTTCCATGTGGAATGGACTATGGATGTAAGGCGTACTTCTATCAAAAGTGCAAACAACCCAGTCTTTCTGCAGGTGAATGAATGAAGAGAGAGTTGAAAACCCAGGATGCGAGGGCATGTGGGACAGGAACTGGGCAAGGTGTCAGGTAAACTGGGGCCCCCAATGGGCTATTTTTCTTATGTAAGATTCTTGCGTCCTTTTAGGCACTATTTTGTAAAAACAGCAGAGTAAACTCCAAGAAAACAAGGAATTCAACTCTGATCACTGGCTCCACGCCTCCTGTTGCAAGGCAGGTAGTGATAACCCGCCAGTCTAACAGCCTGGCTCCCACGGGAGCTGGTCCCCCAGCGGGCTGGCCCCACGCAATGCCAGAGCCGTGAGGCGCACAACACAGCTCCCGAGGGCCCAGGACCCCAGGTCTGCAGGGGCGTCATGCACCAAGCACTTTGCCAACTCAAGAATGGGACCACCACACGATGGGAGGGCTTGTTCCCCCAAACCTCCAAATTCACCTTCTGAGATTTCCTTATCTTTTCTCTACCGGCTACCTGCCCACCCCCAGCCCTTGCAGGCAAGGCACAGAACTAACTCATTTTCCCCAGTTTCCCAGAGAGGCCACTTAAGAACTCCCATTTTCTAATAAAACCCAGGGAAGGAGCTATCCTCCGTATGTTTCGTTTTGCTCAGGTTGAGGCACCCCAAAATCTAAATGGATATAAGAATGCTTGCATGTTGTTGTATGTTAATTAATTGAATTTTTAAAAAAAATAAGTAAAAAAAAAAAAGGATTGCTTGCATGTTGAATCAAACTGGTCTCCCTCACATAGGTTTCACAAATTAAATTCAAATCACGTCGGTCCATGAGATGAACTGGGGCAGTGGAGGCGGGGTGGGTAAGGGGAACTGGGTAAAAATATTCCCAGACCTTGTTATTGTGAATGTCGTTTAAAATTCTCATCTGTTAGAAGTTTAAGGAAACATGTGAAGCAAATGCGACCAAAATAATGACAACTGTTACATGGGGCGGGGTGGGGGGGGGAAGGGGAGTTCTCTTTTCTCTATTTTTCTATATATTTAAGCTTTTCATAAGAGAATATCAAAATACTTCAAATGAACATATATATGTGTGCGTGTGTGTGTGTGTGTGTGTGTATGTACGTGTGTATGTTCTCAGCCCTGGAATCTGCCTCTGTATCGAGAGAAAAATTAAACAGCAATGGAACAGCATTATTATATCCATCTTGGATTATGGTTTTGAAAACCACTTTAACCCAAAATAGAAAAAAATGATGATAGATCCAGTCAGGAACAAAAGGAAAAGATCGTTACCCAACCAAGCATTAGCCTACTTTCAGTCAGATGTATAATGCAAAGTGCCTTCTCCCTGGAAGTGAGGAGAGGCGAGGTGAGGGGAGGCGAGGCGAGGTGAGGTGAGGCGAGGCGAGGTGAGGTGAGGGATGGGGGGACTGTGGGTCCCCTTCTTGCACCCTGGCCTCAAACTTGGCTCTGACCCGTTTTCTTTATATTGGGTTTCTGCACGTATTGTTTGAAGAAAAGGTAATAACAGCTGCTAAAAGAGCACCGTTTGAAAACCACTGCTCCAAGGACCCTTATCCACTCCTGACAGTTTGATTTCGATGTATGTTCATTCACCTGCCCCCAGGCTGCAGTGCCTGAGCAGCCTGCCCAGAGGAGGCAGGGGATGCCCCTGCCCCTTTCCTCCCATCTGCTGCACACAGGGCCCAGCCGGCACCCTCAGTACTGCCCATTCTACCCGTGAAGAGATGCCAGAGCAGACAGGAGCCCATCCCATAAGAACCATAAACGTGGTCCGAGATTGACCCTGCTCAGAAATGCATTTCCCGAAAAAGTCATAGAACTCTTCTGGAACCTCTCTTGATTTGCTAACTTTGAAAAACTCCCCAAAACCAAAAGAGCTATTTCTGGTCTTCTAATGCCTCATCTCAGTACCAATCATCAAAGACATCTTTCTGAAATTAAACTGCTTAAAAGTCTTAACTTTTGTCAAGTGGCTAGAAATTCCATGTCTGGGGAACGATTTACTCAAAACAAAGATCTTGGGGGGGGGGGCGCTGCACACACAAAGATGTTAACGGCCCTTCTTCCTTCCTTTCCCTAAGAAAAGGGTTCTCAACGCAGAACATCCTCTCCCCAAGGGCATCTGGTAATGCGGGAGACATCTCTGTCACTTCATAGTGGTGGTGCTACCCTACAATGCACAAGACAGCCCCTAGAACAAAAAACTATTTGCCCCAAATGTCACTAGTAGCAAGGGGAGAAACCCTGCTTGAAGGGTTTTGATCTTTTTATTTTTTTAAAGATTTTTATTTGTCAGAGAGAGAGAGATCGAGAGACAGCACAAGCAGGGGGAGTGGGAGAGGGAGAAGCAGGCTCCCTGCCAAGCAGGGAGCCCCATGCGGGACTCGATCCCAGGATCCTGGCATGACCTGAGCTGAAGGCAGACACTTAATCAACCGAGCCACCCAGACGCCCTGGTTTTGATCTTTTTAGTTTTTGAGTCTGTGACCGCAGGCAGATAAAGGGAGAGCAAAGAGAACAACTCTCTGGCGGGCATTCCATAAAATACCACACAAGTGGAAACCCAAGGAAGTTAACTTAGAATTCCTTCTCCAGCTGGTGTGATGGCATCTCTGCTGAGGACGTCTTGCAGGGTTACACAGAAGTGCTAGGGGACGCAACCTCCTCGCCCTCCTACCAACTCCGAGACCAAATGGAGGGGAGGCCTGTCAAGTTTGGGGGTGTTGCAGCTGCAATTCTGGAACTCTGTTCTGCACGCAAAGTGCTACTGGGAAATGGGCGATCGATTTTACTACCTAAATTTTCAATTGTGTCATATGCCTCCACATAATGCCTCCAAGCCACTGTCTGACTTGGAGAATCTCACGTAATGCCTTCATGTAATAAATTTCCTATTTTGAAGTCGGAGAGGCATACGAGTTTTTCTTGATGCCACATCAGGTTATCCCCCTCCCACGAGAGAGTTGTTGAACAAATCAGAGTTTAAACAGCGTCTGTTGGAATCCGGCCCCCTCCAGGCCCAGCCCTGCCGGTGACCCCAAGGGGGAGCCCTGTGTCCGTGGCTCTGTTGCCCACGGCTGACCACAAGCTGTGGGGTAGTGCCAACCTGGTAAGACCCCTCCACGAGACCACCAGAGAAGTCAAGCGAAGGATGTGCACTGTCTTCCAAATCCCTCTTCATTCCCCTGCTTTCCAAATAAGCCAACACCCACGTTGCTATAGACTTGTTTTTTTGTTTTTTAAAGATTTTATTTATTTATTTGAGAGAGAGAATGAGAGACAGCACAAGAGGGAAGAGGGTCAGAGGGAGAAGTAGACCCCTCGCTGAGCAGGGAGCCCGATGCGGGACTCGATCCCGGGACTCCAGGATCATGACCTGAGCCGAAGGCAGTCGCTTAACCAACTGAGCCACCCAGGCGCCCTATAGACTTGTTTTTAAAACAAAACCAAGCAATTCGAAGTTATCGCTCCAAAAGCAACTGCAATTCAGCCGAACGCCACATAGATCTATATAAAGGTGTCAACTTTTGGGCGCCTGGGTGGCTCAGTTGGTTAAGCGACTGCCTTCGGCTCAGGTCATGATCCTGGAGTCCCGGGATCGAGTCCCGCATCGGGCTCCCTGCTCGGCAGGGAGTCTGCTTCTCCCTCTCCCACTCCCCGTTTGTGTTCCCTCTCTCGCTGTGTCTTTCTCTGTCAAATAAATAAATAAAATCTTTAAAATAAATAAATAAATAAAATAAAGGTGTCAACTTTTATATCCCCCTGAACTCCAGAAAGCACAACCTAGCTGTCAAGAGGCTGAATTTATGAATCTGGGATCTCAACTAGCATCATTCCTCCGCACTGCAATTCTACATTTTACAATGCCAGGTTTTTAGCATGAAAAATATTTTGCACACTCACAGCCAAACACAGAGCCCTACGCAGAAGGTGAGCTCCCTCAGAACACAAGTGAGGCTCAACACGTCATCCCTTGAGATCTGCCATTCGTACCTCACTGACCGCTCAAGCTCCTATCTGAGCCGGCCTTGCTAGGGGTTCCCGCAGCACACCAATCGGGCCATGACGAAGCCTACGGAGGCTGAGCCAACATTACTGTCCCTGATATGAAAC